CAGCGGCTGGCACACGGCCACGTAGCGATCATAGGCCATGAGGGCCAGGAGGTAGCAGTCGACGGCACCAAAGAAGGTAAAGAGGAAGAACTGAGCAGCACAGCGAGTGTAGGACAAGACTGCCCCATGCTCCCACAGTACAGCCATCAGCTGAGGAGCAGTGACGGAGGAGTAGCAGATGTCCAGGAAAGAGAGGTGACTGAGAAGGAAGTACATCGGGGTGTGGAGCCGGCGATCCATGCGGATCAGAACCACCATGCCCACGTTCCCCAGGAGAGTGCTGAGGTAGATAGCCAAAAACAAGAGGAAGAGAGGGAGGCCCCGCTCAGAAAACTCCGTGAACGCGATCAGGAGGAACTCCGTCACCACGCTGAGGTTCGCCTCTGCCATGCAGCCACTGGCCCCTGAGAAGACAGGGCCCCGAAGCGAGTTAGGCCCTGCGAGGACGTCTTACCTGCACTTCCAGCTGACACTTACTGAACATGAACGATGGACAAAATAGCCAGAGGTGACTGGTCTTCACCCCTGACCTCTCCGTAACACGGTCATCTCCGCATTGTCAGCAACAAAGAGGACGCAGGTGAACCCCTGCTGAGGGCAGGGCAGCCTGGAATCAGAGGACCGCCCTGAGCCCTCACTTCCAGCTCCGGCTGCGGCTCCGGCTCCGGAGAGGCTGTTGCCCGGCGGCCCCGCCCTTCCCTGCCGCCTCGAAGCCCTCTTCCTGCAGGACTGCGGCTCCTCTGTTAGTTCCCACCCTGTGCATTTCGCCTCTGGATTAAAACCACAGCCGGGGGCCCAGCGGCTCCTGCCTTCGGGTGTTTCTTGCCAGTTCTTGCTCCTTTCATTGAAATCACGACCGAACTCTTGACCCTCGCGGAGTCCTCGGGCTGCGGCGTCCTCCCTCCCATCCCCGGTGCCTGCTCCTCTCGCCCCTTCCTTACCTGTCTCACCTGGTCACACTCGCCCTTCCGCAGCGTCTCCAGCCACACTGCGTTACAGCAGCGGCTCCTCTGTCCCCCGCATTCCCTCCCTCTGCAAGGTGGGCAGAGCACCCTTCTCCCCAGGGCGCACCCTCATCTCCCAGCTTCCAGCTCCCAGCTCCCGCAAGTCTCGCTCCGCTCACTCTGTGCTCCTTGCAGGAAATCTTGCTCCTCTGTCCTCTCCAGTCGCTGTACGCAGCCTTGGGGCTCGGCGCATGTGGGGCTCACTACACTTTTGTGGAATAAGTTTTCAAAGGAGACATAAAGCACTTTGCAGAGAGGAAGGTTCTGTACACATGTTCAAGTGATTAGTTTTATTTTCTGAAAGGCTCTAGCAACAGAAAATGCATGAAGTATAAAGAGTCGCTAGAATTGGTGAACAGCCACAACCTGGGTTTGTGTGTCTGCCTTCAACCTGTGTGCTTATGTAACAGAAAGCTTCTACCATAACTAGACCCTCCTGGGTTACACCAAAGAGGGATTTTATATCATCCTTAACAGAAAACACATAGGTAGACACTATTCTGCACAACTTCTAGTGTCTCAGTCTCACAACCGCTTTGTGATGAAGGAAATCTTCTTATCCTCATTCTACAGCCAAGAAAACTGAGTCAGAAAGAGTTTGACATGCACAAGAGTGCACAGCCAGTGGGTGGTGGCTGTCCTTAGACACAAAGCTGCACGGAGGCCTTGGAGCTAACAGATGGAACCGCCTTCGCCAAATCCGTGGTGGAGCAGCATAGAGGAAACACTGATCATCTTGAAAGGATAAGACTGGTGGCTGGACCCAAGTTGGACGGACCTATTGGGGACGATGATAAACTGGATCTGGTGAGCTGCACTGGGCATGAACCAAGAGAGCCAGGTGGGTCTCCTGGCCTGAATTCCACCTCACTTTACCTGGCTGGGCCTCTCCTTTGTCTCTATCCTTCCTTAGTCTCTTAAAGTCATTCTCTTCCACTGCTTAGAGAAGCATCCTAAGGATGCGAAGGGGAGAGGACTGGGAGCTCCCGGTGTGTCCTGTTGCCTGCTCGAGTGTGATGAGCCCCTCTTAGAGTCTCAGTGTCCTCCACATCACACGCACACGCACGCGCACGCGCACACGCGGCGTGAACCAGTGATGGCACACTCATGCCTTAGCTCCCTTCCTGGAAGATGTGAACCTCAAGATCCTTGTAGCTAGCGCTACCCTAGCAAGGACTCTTATTCTTTGTTTCCACAGTTTGCTGAACCCTGTTAGGATACGTACCTCACTCTAGGCTTCGTTCAGTTTCAAGGCTAGGCAGCAGAGGCTGGAGAACAGCCGCTCCCTGTCAGCTCCCAGCTCCAACACAAATCTCTCCAGGAGAAGACATTAATCCTTACTACGAATGCTCTGGGGTCCCCACTCGATCCGGATGCGGTCTCTAAGGAGCAGCAATGACTGTTTGTGTGGGCTCCCCAAGTGGTACCGGTCCCTCTCACACAGGAAGAGAAGAGCTTCCTCTGAAACCAGTCCCCATGCCCTAACACACCCGTCAGGCGAGCTCTAAAAGAACCAAGTCCCAATTCATCAGGTTCCCTTGAGGAATCAGAAGTCTCTGGCAATGTCTCCAATCAGAAGAATGCTGTAATTATGCCAGCTGCCACCCTCACCAATGCAACTATCCTGATAGCAGGGAGGGTTTCATCTGCTTTGTCCACAAGGGTCAATGAGCTCCCTGCCCACAGACCTCAGCTGGATACATTGTGTCCTCTGTTTGTGCTCTCTGGAAGTCATCAGACTCATCAGGTCTCTCTCTTTCTCTCTCTCTCCTTAAACACAAAAGAAACCATAGGAAAAACAGAAGGCCAAAGAGGAGAACTTGGCAAGCTCTTTTTGGCATGATGCTTGCCAGCTCTCTGTATCTTTGACAGCATAGAATTTTTTAGACCCTACTTTATAGGCATTTTGTTAAATTGAATTACAATATGTTCCAGTTCAAAGAAAAGGAAGTAAGGAAGATGAGGAAGAACAAAATAATTTTTCTCTTTGACAATTATGAGAACAAAGAGAAAATGGGACTTCTGTAGTTCATTGGTTTGTGACTGTGTGGACAATTCTAAATGAGGAGCAAGAGATACAAAATGGAACAAACAACAAGCACACACACACATACACACACCTCTCTCTATAAGAAATATGCAACCTAGAGGATGAGATGCTTATCCATCCTTCAGGATGGCATGTACAAAACTCTTCATCAAAATCCAAGTCCTGTACCTCGCACATTCAGTGTAGATCAAGGTTCCTCACAGGTGGGGTAGATCGGAGGCCTTCCAAGAAGAGGTGGGCTTTGACGGTCAGCGAGGAAGGAGGAGGCGATGGGGGGACAGTGGGCCACCCAGATCAGGAAGGGGGATCAGCACCACCAGTCACACCGGAAGAGCCTGAGGACTATGCCTGGGTCAATGAATGACACCCTGGGGATGGTACAGGATGGTACAGCTTGAGGATCCCTTCTCCAAACTGGTTTGGGCCAGAAATATGTCAAATTTCAGATGTTTTCAGATGTTAGAATATCTGCATATACGCAACGAGCTAACTTAGAGACGGGAGCCAAACAGGAAATTCATGTATGTTTTATATGCACCTTACTCATAGCCTGGAGGTGATTTTATTATTTTTTAAGTACCTATGTTTTGACTGCAACCAGTCTCATGAAACCAGTGGGAAATTTTCCACTTGTGGCCTCATGTAAGTGCTCAAAACGTTTCAGATTTTGAAGCATTTGGGATTTCAAATTTTCAGATTCAGGATGCTCAGCCCATACTGGACAAGCCCGGGGCGAGGTATGTGAGACACAGGCTCAAGCACGAAAGACAGAGCGGTACCACGAACCTTGGTGAAAAACAGACTTTAAGCCAATATTTTTAAGTTATCAAAATCAATGCAGAAACTGCGTGATGAACAAAACATCAACATTTTAAACAAATACAGCATAGTATTATAGATTTTCCTCTTGCCTCAGTCCTGCATGTGGCTCAACAGGCTGCAGATACTAGGAGACATGCTTGAAACCGGAAGGAAAACTTCGGGACTTCAGAAGGGTCAGGGCTAACAATCGCCTTTTAATCCTCTAGGGGTCTTCTGTTTCTTTCTTCCCTATTCTTTATGTTAAAAATGCAAGAAAGTTGACTCAATATGATCTAATACTTACAGTATCTTTAACCATTTGAAAGCCCCCTCTTCGTCTGTCTTCATGAGAGCTCCGTGGGACTTAGATAGAGAAGGATATTCTTCCTAGGCATAGATGGGGGCCACAATCATGTGGTTATGTGGTGGGGACATCATGAATTTTGTCTGCTCTGTTCACACTGATTGGCCAGAGACTCTGCCTGGCCACAGTCTCCTCTGCTCTGAGGGATTTTTTTTGTTTTTTGTTTTTTGGTCCCAGGGCCCGGGATTGAACTCAGGACCTTGCACTTGCAAGGCAGGTGCAGGGCCACTGAGCTAAATCCCCAGCCCAGGACTTTTGTTTTTGACAAGGGACACACTCATGCATGGACATGTCTGAGCTTAGCTGAGGAAGAGATAGTCTTCTGTATTAGCAGATAAGCTCACCATCGTGCAGCTTTGTGGAGCAAGTTTATACTTATTCATAAAAAGGCGGGGAGTTCATAAGTCAGTTATGGCATTCGGAGCAGGTGGTCTTCCAGACGGAAGATAGAGCGAAGGGAGATTGTGCAGGATGCTGCAGGGCCCAGGCGTGGGGCGGGCTGCCTCACCCCACCTACATCCTGGTGCCCAGATGCCAGGGCCCTGGCTCCCCGTGAGCATAAGAGCTGCTGGGAGATGTGCAATGCACAGGGACGTTTGTGTAGACTAACATCTGGGCAGACGTCTCTGCTGCCCTCCACAGCCTCTGTGCAGTGCCCAGTCAGAGCCCCTCCTCACAATTCTGGGGGACACTCGAGGGCGCGCTGTTCCATCCTCGAGGCCCTTCTTCCTGCTTCTTCTGCCACATCCTCACTGTGCCCACGTCCTGCGACCCTCAGCCTTTCATCACACCGAGAGTGAAGCACGGCCTAGGGGCTTTCTCTTCCTTTCTCTACAGCAAAATTAACACACGTTTGTATAGACAAGAGACTTAACAAATGTGCTGTGGAAAATTTAGGAGACTTACCGCAGTACACAGAGTAGGGGTCAGAATTAAATAACTGATGTTATCATGTGACTTCCCCCATGTGTCCATCAGGAGGGCTTTGTCCCTGGCTGCCCCTCACCTTCGCCTCAAGCTGCTGTCTCTTCCTCCACTAAGATCACACACAGTCCCTCCTCACTGCTGCAGATCTTCCAAATCCCTATCCTGGTTGATCCCTTAGAGGACTCAAAATTTTTTACATAGCTATGTGTGATAATCTAAGTATTTACCATCCAAGTATCTCCCAATTACAGCACATTGAGGATTCTTAAATTTCATTC